AACTGACAGTAAAACTTGACGTTTACATTTGATATTTTAAACTGCTAATTTTTTTTGGTTTCTGCAATCTCAAATTTCTTTCTCAATTCCTTACGTAACTATCGATTTGCTCCATTAATTGGATGAGCAAAGTATTCTGGATCATATAGGTCTTCCTGCATTGGAATAACTCTCATCGCCCAATGGTCACACTCTCTGTCACCCTCTCTACCCCGTGTAAATGAAAAAATTACGCTCTGCAGATCTGGAGAGGTAACACTCAGACCCAGCCTTGTAAACTGCTCCATCAGCTGTGGATCAACTCTTGCAGGAGGACGGGACTTCTTCTTGACTACAAAGGCAATCACAATTAGGACACATTACATTGGCAGTTAGATCTCATTTAGCAAATACTGTATTACTGTGCAGGAACCAGGGACATTGGATCGACCTACAGAGCTGTGTGTGTGTGTGTGTGTGTGTGTGTGTGTGTAAGCTCTGGTACAGTGTGTAAGCAGAGCTAAAATTACACTTTCCTGTACGCTGAACCTTTGCAGGTAAGACATCAGACTTATGTGATGAATTATCTTTACATACATTCTGAATTTATCTCAAATATACTTCATTAGACTGGATTTAATCATAGTCATATCAGAACTGCACTGCAGACTGGAGTCTCTGTTAACAGTGACAGCCAGAGTCACAGCTCACTCATGAACAGGTTTAACATATGTTGAGTAGAAATGATGGAAAAAATTATCTTAAACACATCTGTTATTTTTACTTTAAAAAAACGTTACTTATGGGCTGACAGCCAGTAGTGACATATCCGCAAAAATGTCAATAATTATAATCATAATCGGAAATAAATCTTACCACACTTAAGCAGGAATATTGTTCCACAAGATATGGCAGTGATTACAAAAATAATGCAGACAAATCCAAGGATTGCTGTCAGAATTTTCCAATGGACAGTTAACATGTTGAGAAGATTTCTGCCATCAAGAGTATTCCCATCTGCAATGAAAGAAGATCCTGAAAGTCCATTCTGACCACTGAAGTTCATTCTGTCCATTCATGATATTCATCAAAAATCAGTTCAGAGTTTGACTTCTTCAGATTTTTGTTCCTCATCGTCATCATCATCATCCAATACCATGATAAATACCATGATATAGAGTGAACAAGCATTAGTTATTTTGTGGGTTTGATAACGGTCACTAAAGAGAGCATGAGATGGTTTGCCAGAGCCAGCTCACCATCTCCAGACAGCGATAGTCATAACTCTCTTGCTACTATAATTAACATCACCACAGCAGCATATCTTGGGAAACTAGAGAGTAAGATTGATGTCTGAGGGCAAGTCATTTGGGTGTTATAATTAATTAGTGTCATGTGGCTTGGTCTGATCCACTTTGTTTGTGGAAAAGTGTGGAAAGCTGGCAGATCGTGAGGAGATATGTGCTGAATTTGGTGTTGGCAAGGCCTGATAAGGTGTCCATTATCAGGAATAATGGACAGTTCCCTGCACAAAGTTCATTAATGTCTGATAATAGACACCTCAAAAGGGCATTATCCTGCTTACACCATGGTCTTGTGCCAAAAAAAAACAAAACATTATTTTATAAAGCCTGAAGTAGCCTGAAGTAACAAGTTGAATACAGTGAGTGGGATATGAGATGATGTCTTGTACAAAGTATCAGTGAGTTCATGAAGGGCAGTGTAGCGGCTTGTATGTTACGCAACCATTCCTATATTCAGGTGATAATACACTGAAAATATTCAATTTCTACCAATAAAGCCTCCTAACTGTTACACACCAGACCTTTAAGTACACCTGTAAGATCTACTGCAATTAGTACCTTTGTTGGTGACTGTGAAAGACTATGATTACAGTTGCACTCTCTCAGGAGATTGAACAGATTGTATTCAATAGTTAAGGTAAACCTAATAAATTCAGTGTGTACTTTAAGTCACATGTTCTCACCCCAGAAAATGGTGATGTTGTGACCTCCTGTTTGTACTCTACAGCCGTACATGTTGGTGCTTTGGCTCAGAGAGATCTCAGCTGTCAGTCTGAGGATCACAGATCCGTCTTCAGAAGGCATTGGTCCAGTTACAGAGATCCAATTGGCCTTGAAAGCCCCATCTCCAATCAGATGCACTGAGCTCACTGATTTGTCAGTACTCGTCACGTGACACCTCAGCAGTGCCTGGTCTGTGTCAGCAATGGGCTTGGCAAATATATGTAGCTCTGCAGAGAAATAAAGTAATATCAGAGATCGTGATTGGGGTAAAAAAAATCATTCACATGACCACTATGGGTCTTTGGTCAATGTGCAAACAATATTGAAAGTTCACACTTGATCTTGGAGACAGTAATTTGACAAAAAAGCTTTTTCTGGAGATTTCAAACACGTCATGGTCTTCCTCAGCAGGTAGCTGAGTTCAGTTCAGTTGTCATATAGTTCACTGATCTCAAGTGAAAAATAAAAGCACAAATACATTCTCAGTAATAACAAGATTGAGTCAACAACTACACTAGTGAGGCTGTACAGTGGTGCTTTGTGCTAAAAGCTATCATCAGCATGCTCACAATGACAATGCTAACATGCTGATATTTATCATATTCACCATCTTAGTTTAGTGTGTTATTGTGACCCAGAATGTATTCACATTTCTGTTTGTGTATTTATCTTATTGGGATGTAAAATTAACTTTGTTTTGGGGTTAGCGCTCCTAGTTTTTAATAGATTATTGTTTGATGCTTTCAATGCTCCTGTCTAACCCTAACCCTAACCCTAACCCTGTAGTAAAAGAGCAAGGACCCTGGCCAAGAGACTGAATGAACTCCGGACACGGACAACTACAGACAGCTGTGAATACCAGACCAAAACCACCCTCAGAATCCACTGTAAGAGGTCAAAGGTCATCAACCAGGAGTCAGTGTACGACCACAAAAGGAAGACACTCACATCTGACACAAGATGCCATCTTTGAACAGAGACACTGACCAAAGTTCCACATTTATGCCACTGAGCTATTTCCATAACTGAGACAACTTCATCTGCTGAGGGAGACTCTAAAGTGTGGTTGAAAGAAGATGTCTGTATTTTATCTGGACAGTTGTTCCAGCTCTCACCTGTGTTTTGGTGCGTTGATCTTAATTTCATTCCCTGTATCAATAGTGGACATCGTTCTCTGAGGAAGTGTTTGAAGGCAAAATTCCGTCCGTTATTGTTTTTCCACCAATGCCTAACTGGTATTGCAAAGGGAGACTGGGATGTCCATCTCTGGGATTCAGGGTCAAAGCTGATGAAGTCCATCCCATTCACTGCCCAGGCATCAAAAGCAGAGACAATCCCATCGGCTGACCTGACGCAGCCACAGCGCCGTTGTATAACATCTATAAAGTAAGAAAGTAGGATTCAGTTTTTAGCTTTAGTGCACAAAAACAAACATTTTAAGAACTTACACACTGTGCTGTTGATCAGTGCTGGAATCACATGGACAGAGTCTATGATAATATTATTTGCTTCATCACAGTGTTTAGGTAAGTTGTTTGATTCCAGGGTAGGTTTGAGCTCTTCTCTTTTTTTCCAGCTGTTACAATAAGAGATGGGAACTCCATCAAATACAGTTAGTTGTTCAAACTGAGGTTGATCTTCGGGCTGCACACGTCCTGTAGACAGGAACTCAAGAGAGTGGGAGCCTGAAAAACAAAAGACATTTGAAGGCTCAAAACTCAGACTGTGGCCTCTATTTATGCTATAATTATTCATGCTGTTATATTTAGAACAGATATGTTTGAATAAAGTGTATTTTACTGTTAAAGTAACATTATCTTATCAGTATGGATACAAAGACACACCACTACAAGTTCATTCCTCAGTACAGCAGTCAGGATATTTCTCCTGTCTGAAGTATTTGTTCCTGAGTAGGCCTATGTTTACTATGTTTATGCAATCAGGTCATTGCAGAAAGTCAAGAGTGACCAAGTTATGCATGTTAACAGAATAGCTGACAGAAATAAAAAGATCAAGTGAAATATGTGTATATATAAAAAACATCAGAATACAAAAAAATATAATTTATTTATCAATGTATGCTTGCTTTTTCAGTTCAGGTTTTGTTTTCAATGCCAAATTTGTCAACATTTAATGTCACCACTCTGGCCCCATACAATACCACTGTGTGCAAATACTCAGTTAAATGTTAAAGTCCTGCATTTAAAATCTAAAGGCCCTGCTCTAAGATCGGTTTAAAGTGGCAATCTCAAAGATTTTCATTTCATTAAATGTCTGTTAATTAATTATCTAATGCTGAATGCTGAGGCAGCTTCACATTAAAAGCATTTAACTGACAAAACATGAGTTGACTTTAATTATGAAGTAGTCACAGTAAATGCAGTGTGTTTGTCAGTGAGCTTGGCACTAACTACTTCATCAAAGATGTGTCTACAAAACAAGACAATAGACCATTTTCAGCATTTTTTGACAAAGGATCAGTTGAAGTGAAATATTACAAATATTGAAATATTGTAATGGAAGAAGAAGACTGCAATGGCTTTCACTGGCTTTCATTTTTGCTCTTAGATTCTGTGCATAATCAAAACAGATTGTTGTTGCTCACGTAATTATGGATAAATGCCTGACTTTATTAAAACAACAATGGTTTGTTTTGCTGCTCCCAGAATTCTGTGAGCTGTACTGTTAAACCACATTTACTGTTACCACCAGTAACAACTAGCACAGAAGAAGGATTGCAAAATATACCCACACCAAGACAAAATGCTCTTTCTATTTTTAAAGAATCTCTGCAAGTTGATATTGTGGAGATCCAAATGTAGTGGAGTTACATGTACAGACAACAGACACAGACTTTGCTCTGCTTCTACAGTTCACAATATGCCTCAAAATTCAGCAGTAGCACTAATGTCACTTACCACATTCAGCTGTTGACATTAGGAACCATTGGATCAAAAGTTTAATCCACATCTGCATCGTGAAGAACCATTTTCTGTCTTTTCAAACACAGGGTAAGTGGTTTCACAGTGGCAGCGATTAAAATGTTTACCTCTGAGCTTCTGAGATCACTGAGCAAACTGGATGGACAGGTCTGTCTGATCAAGATGAAGATATGACATGCTCAGACACACATTGTTCACCCTGTTCACAAGCTGGTATGGGCAAATAGTACTTAACTACTAAACTGGCACACCCATAAACAAAGCATTTAATTTCAAATAGACAATGCAAAGCTTCAACAGCTGCCTATTGGGATGGATGATAGGACTCAGAGAGAGGGAACAGATGAAGCTGATATGAGAGCAGTCGAGTTAGACAGAGTTAGACAAACTGATTCTTTTCTCATCACCATGAGATCAGGTATATTACAATCTTTAGAGTATATTTGTACAATCCTTATATCATAACTAACTAAGAGCAGACAGTTAGCAGCTCTGTGAGGCTGCAATGCTTTAAGCTAAATGATAATGCCAGTGTATAATGTATGTCACGTTCACCGTCATGGTTTACAATGTTCTGGGATGTTGGAATTGTCTTATCAGATTGTGATAGTCGGTAGAGACTGAACCAACAGGTTCAGTCACTGCACACAGTAACCCTTTCGATTTTATGTCCTTCCCAGGCTGAATATTACAGTTTTTCTTGATTGCTTTGACCTGCTTAAAGAAACTGGGATCCACTCGGTTTTCATCCTGTCTCAGCAGAGCCACAAGACAGCCTCTTGCAAATGTGTTAACCTTTCTCATTGGAGACACATTTTCCCCACCCTTTTGCAGAACAGTTAACACGGATGTCATTCAAGCAGTCCAAACTCCATTGTTTTAGCTATGGTAACCAAACAGAAACCATCTGTTCCTAGCTATTAGAAACTACCTACATCAGTATGAAATCACTGAAGCACCTGTTTGACACTCCTTCACACAAATCTTCAATTAGCAATCAGTCTGCAGGCCTTAAAAGGTGCAGCGTCTGTGTTGTTCTTTGCCAACATGGATGGAAGAGGTCTAAGGCAGATGAGAGTGAGAGTAAGAGGTAGAGGGGTCCGAGTGCGAGGTGGAGGTATAGTTGGAAGGGCTCAGGTTTCTGATGAAATTCGGGCAACTGTTATTGATCACGTTATCAATCATGGCCTTTCACTTAGAGAGGCTGGACAAAGAGTCCAACCTGTTCAACAGAATGTTGCATCATTTTGTCCAGCCAGAATTTTTCGACAGGAAAACAGGTAATGTTGCTGTACAGTATATACAGAAATATCTTCAGTGATATACTTTATGTAATTGTTTCCTCATTCCCATTACATGTATTCTTTATAGAATCCAAAGGCTACCATTCTCTGGTGGTAGAGGGAGAATTTTTAGTGCTGAGCAGGAGGCAGCCGTTGTGAACATGGTTGTGGCAAACAATGCCATAAGGCTGCGTGAAATCAGGGCAGCAGTGATCGCAGATCAGGGCATGTTTAGGAACATCAACAACGTGAGCGTGACCACCATTGACCGCATCCTAAGAAGGAACCATATGGCCATGAAACAGTTCCATTTCAAAGGAACTCTGACGTTGTGAAGGAGGCCAGATGCCAATATGTGGAGGTAAGGATACTGTAGTAATGTTTCCTTACCAAACTACGGCCCCCGGGCCACATCCGGCCCGCCTAAACAACTGGAGTGGCCCGCTTAACGATCCCAAACAATCCCTCTAAACATGGCCTATTATTTAAAATTGCATTTGAATTTCTTATACTCTAATAGATTTTATTTTGGTTTACATGTATTTTGTGTAATATTTACAGTATTTCAGTTTTCAGCCACAGTTTGAAAAAAAGAATCAATGGAATCAATAAAATTTGCATCAAAGCATTTCTGATTCTGGGTCCAAAGAAGGCAAATTTGACAACAAATGGCACTGGCATGAAAGCTACGTACAGTAATAGGCTACAATGACAAGCAATGTGTTCTGTATTTTGTATTTTGTTGTCCACTGTGTAATGGTTGATTTGAAGAGCTCATACACTTGTTTGTAAGTTGTGTTGTTTGAAGGCAAAATTAGCTTTTGTTGCATATTTTAAATGTTTTGGCACGATTAGCCAGCCTTAGCACTATGCACCAGGCCAATATCGTCCAGCCTGAGTCTCCTACGAGTCAGTCATCCAGTCATGCTGGTTTATCACAGTTGAAGGTCGTTGTGCAGTCTGACGCCAAGGCCCCGCCTTTCTTCAGGGGTGATCATGCTGATGCATTCTCTGTTCATGAATCGGAGGACATGATGATGAATAGGATTAAATGTGACACTCATGCTGAAATGTTTGACCTGATAATGTTGAGACTAACAGGCAAAGTTAGGGACGTGGTGAAGGTGTCGCTCCGCAGCCGCCCTGAACTGAGTGCGACTGACCTACCCACGGCTGTGTTTGACATATTGAAAGGTAACTTTAGTGAGCTGTCATACTCCAACTTGCCCATGAAAGACTTCTATAGCACAATTCCCCATGCTGATGAGGGTGCTATGGACTACTGGATTCGCCTTAACAATTCCATCAATGCTGCTGACGATTACCTCCTGAGGCGAGGCAGGTCTGTAGAGGACCCCAGTGCTGAAGTGGTCATGATGTTCATTAATCACTGTCCCGACCCTAGTCTTGCCATGTCATTCCAGCTGAAGGCACCTGAGCGGTGGACCACGGCTGAGGTTCACGAGCGTCTGGATAGTCGCATGAGAACTGTGAGAAAGACAGCAGCCCAGTCCCGACACGCAGTGGGTTTGTCAGCTTACAGTCAGAGTCCTGTGACTGATTCCTTTCAACCTTTCAATTCTGGTGTGTCTCAAACTGCCTCAGTAGCATGCCAGCCAAAGGCCCCTCATACCTCTCTGCCTGCTTCTATCCTGGCCTGCAGTCATCCTCGGTCGGACAACGTGTTGGTGGGCCCACACAAGCCTGCTTCCTTGTCCCTACCTCCTACTGCAGTCTCTGATCCAGCTCCTGCTGCCACTGACCCACCAGCACCTTGGATGGTAATGCTGCTCCTGTCTCCATGCCTGCCTCTAGCGTGACCAGTGCCCCTCCTACGTCTGATTGGCACAAGACTGGGATGTCTGCATTGGAAACTGCAGCTGCAACAGGTGAGCCATCCCTTGCTAGGTCCCTCTTGAGTGTTGATGACTGGGATGATGGCCGCACCACCTCATGGGTCCGTGAGCAGTCCTCCATTGATGAGTCCCCTGATTCAGACTGTCCACCACCTCCCTCTGAGGTACCCTCCCCTGCTTCTGATGGTCCTGTCACTGCTGTGGATTCCCCAACAGCTGTCCCTGCTCCCCCACCGCAACCATCACCTGCCCGTTCCAATCTACCTCAGGCATCAAATGTAGATAGCCAACTTACCTCACGATTTGGCCGATTTGACTCATTAGGCCTGTGTGTCGTTTGATTGAGTCCATGGCACAACTTGAGTCCATTCTAGGGGTTGAGTCAAGCTCCCGTGCTGTTACTCATGTGTGAGATGTATGAGTCAGTGTGACTTGCTACTGATGTGTTTCTTTTTAGGGTGTGTTCTTGGGCCACTCTTTATGTCGTGATAGTATTATGCTGCTGTGTGAAACCATCTTTTTTTTTCTTGTCTCATTTACACACATTGTTTGGCCTGAGTATGTGTGGTGTATAAGGCACCTCACTTTGTCTATTGAGTATTATGAGTTCTTGCTAGGCGCCAACCTGACATGTCCGGCCTCCTGAGCCAATATGTGGAACGTTTGAGACTTTCGTTAGTTTTCCGTTTCTGTACCCCGACGTTCACTTTCGTGGGTCCCTCCTATAAATGTGTCTCGCGCTTTTGCCTCTCCCGTTTTGCTGTTGTACTCCTTAGGAGAGGTAAGCGACACTGTGGTCACAGAAATTTCCGTGTTTTAGCCTGTTAAACTACATTTATAAGTTTACTTGCTAGCTTAAACTTATTGTGTAGTACGCTAACATATTTCTGTGTCATTTAATTTGTGTAGGAGCTCAAGTTGATAATGATTGACCGGAGGATTTTGTTGTTATTTACACCTTTTGTCAGGTATGTTTTGATATTATCACTGATATTAGTGTTATTATTATTATTATTATAGTATAGTATTATTAATGTTCATCATCATCAGT